GCTGGAGATAGAGAAACGACTTCAGGAGAGACAGATGAACAAGAAGTCGCAGGATGGGGAGAAGCCTCACAGTTTCAAAGCAAACCCCCTGCCCAAGAAGGTCCTGGATGGTGTCGTGGTGAGTCCCTCCAGAGGGTTCATCTGGAACAGTCTTGTCTTCAGAACTTCAAACCATTATAAGCGTCTATAAAGCAGACATTCTCCTGTGGGCAGGGCTTACCTGAGAAGAAGGTAATGTATCCGACTGTACCAGAGTCTCCAGCATTTGCCCTGAAGAAGAGGGTTCGTATGGAGCGCAAGGTTGAGGAGGTAAGGAAGGACTCTCCCTTTTCTGGGTCTCCTGTTACTCTGTCACTTCAGTTTGGTGACCTTGTTGTTGTGTTCAGGTAAAGCCACCCTCACCGGTCAAAGCCGTCTCCGTCCCCCACTTTGGGGTTCCATTCCAGCCGCAGCTCCCCGAGAGCCACCAGGTGGAGGTGTGTCCCTTCTCGTTTGAGCAGAGGGACAAGGAGAGACAGGCTCTTAAGGAGAAGAGGCTGGCAGAGTTGCAAAACGAAGAGGTGGGGTTTCATTAATCCAGAACTGGAAATGTCGCCCTTCAGAGTCCATACAGCTCATGGTGTGTCTGCGCTGCTTCCAGGTGCCCCACTTCAAGGCCCAGCCACTGCCAGACTTCAACGCAGTGGTCCTCCCTGAGAAGAAGAAGCTGGAGCCCACCAAGCCCGAACCCTTCAGGCTCCACATCGACGAGCGAGGAGCAGGCAGACACAGGCAGTGGGAGCAGATGGTAGGACTGGCCACCTATGGCTGACTGTGCTTGAGACTTGTGGCAGAGTCTCCTAGCCGACTGACTTGTCCTGTGTCCTGCAGGTGAAGGAGGAGCAGAAGCAGCAGGAGGAGGCGTCTACGTTCAAAGCCAGGCCCAACACAGTCACTTACAAAGAACCGTTTCGACCTAAGAAGGAGAACCGGACGTTAGTGGGTAAGACTGGAAACCAGCCTGTAGTGAAATGATGCTGATGACTAGGGCTTGTAGTTCAACTACAACAGCTGCTGACTTGGCATTACTTTAACTGACTACGAGAGGTCCTATTGCTAAGCTAATTCTGGGCACCTCCTGAGAAAACATTGATTCTTCCACAGTGGTGGAGCCCTTCCAGTTGGCCACAGAGCGCAGAGCCCAAGAGTGGCAGGAGTACGAGCGTCTAATTGGTGAAAAAGAGGTGCTGAGGGCGCGCATGGAGGCAGAGCAGAGGCTGGAGGAAGAGCAGAGGGAGAGGGAGGAGATTGCCAGGCTGCGACAAGAACAGGTGAGCTTCTGTCTGGGTGACATATTTTGTTGACTCAAACTTGGTTTTTAAAAATAATTTTTAAATAAGACTTTCACAAACATTTGCAAACTGGGCTCCAGTTCATTCACTGTCATTGATTCTGTTCTACTTAAGAACAGAAACTGGAGTTAACACAAGTGTGCACATCAAAAATGCAATATGTTGATCCCCCACTAGGAGAGATCTCTGTCATGCTTCAAACTGATCTGGTTCTAACTGTAGGAATCATTGAAGATTAAATCTGCCTTTGAACCACTTTACCATGTGACGTTTCCTCCTGCCTTCAGGTCCACAAAGCTCAGCCCATCAGACACTATAAACCTGTCGCCGTGAAGAAGAGTGACGTTCCTCTCACAGTCCCAGAATCGCCAAACTTCTCCAAACGCTTCCGGTAACAAGCAGCAAGATCCCTTTTTACAGCAACATTCTCAACAAATGTGTTTTCAGTTTTTAACTGTTGCAATGAGGTGACTGAAAACCGCTTTTGTTTATAGTTCTACTTGATCTCAGCTTCAGCTGGTGATTAATTTTTCTCTCATATCTTGACTTTCTAGTGAGTTTCTTGGTAAATTTTTTTATTTTTTTTTAGGTTTTTGAAGGGTGGGCATAAACTTCCACATGTAGTACATTCCTGTAATAAAACTTTTATTTGAAATCCTAGCCTGCGTCACTGACTCCAGAACACAAAACTGGCAAAAAATGATCTGGTGTTCCATCTCAACATTCTTGTGTGGCTTCTCACAATTATGCAAATGACTGTGCATTAAACACATGACTATAATTCAGCCTTTACTCTTCTCAGGCTAAAAAAACAAACGGTGCTGAGTGCAATTTAGCGTCAAAACATGTTGCTGTCCAGCAACAAACCTGTAACAGCCATACAGCTCACATCTGTTTGTTTGTGGTACAAAATTCAGACTGTGGTCCCAGGTCAAGAAGCCTAATAAATAAATCAAGTACTCTTCATGTTTTGCATATTTCCCTAATTTAAGACGCTTGATTGGTTCAACAGCTTATTAATCAGTCATCAGTTGAACTTGTGTGCTTGAAGCAGGGAAAGATCTAAAACATGCAGGGCAGTGTGCCTTCCTGGCTGAAGTTGGGAAATGCTACTTTATGCTACATATTACTTAAAATGCAAGAAAGCTGAATTAAATGCGGCTTGAATTTAGCAGTCTGACAACTGAAGGGTAAAAACTGAGTCTGGTGCTCTTGCTCTGGATGCTCCTCCGCCCTTTCCCTGAGGGAAGGGGTTGGAAGAGGATGGGTGGAGTCCTATAAAGTGGAGAAGGAAAAAGGTGCACTAGCCACAACCATGAGAGGATAGTCTAGCAAAGAATTTGCACAAGAACTAAGGGGAGCTTCACAAGGAGAAGCCTGAGGCTGCAGTACAAACATTAAGAGCCTCTACGCCTAAATGATTTGTATTTTATTTGGGAAATTGGAGTCTGAAAGAAGAGTAGAGAGAATTGACGTTGCTTGAAGTTTCCATAACCAGTGATGGTTTGGGTTGTCATCTCCTGGTTCTGGTTCTCATTCAGTCGGTTTTTCCCCACAGACCGTCTCTAACAGGTCAATGCCATAGTTGCACTAACTCAGTATAGTCCTTCTTTTTTATGAAAACATTGTGTGTGTGTGTGTGTGTGTGTTCTATAAAAACTGATTCTGATTTCAACTGTAAGCTGCAGTCTTACAAGAAATAAAGTCTAGGAATATTTCACTATGTGCAGTGAACCTATACAAATGTCCCTTTGTGAAATAAGTGAAAATGCTTGTTTGTATTTTTTTTTTTTTTTGTTAAAAATAAATTAAAAAAATAAAAAGCTTTAGGTGTTCTGGCATTTCTGGAGTAATTTTGTATGTCCTACAAAGGTTCACAGCCATTCTGTCTTCATTTGTAAAAAAAAAAAAATAATAAAATCCATTGTTTTTGCTGAGGTTTACTGGAGCATTCCAGGGCTAAATGCATTGGTAACCCTGAGCAAACTGACAGATGTTAAAAAAAAATAGTGGTAGAATTTCTTCAGAACAGGGTGAAGCTTTGTCATCATGGAAAACCTCTGATTTAATAAGGCAGAATTACTTTTTCCACATCACCAGGTTTGTTTTGGAAAGCTTTTATTCCCCTCACTACATGTACTAATGTTGGCATAAATGACACCAGTATGAATATTTGACTCCATTCATCCTTTAAGGTTGATGCTTTTAAGAGGAAAGTGAGCAGCCTGAAACGCATGTTGTTTTGCTTCCCCGCTTTATTCTAGTTGTCTTCAAATCTCTCCCATAAAACACATTCAACTTTTTAATGAGACACAAAGTGTTACAGATCATTTCCATACTGCGGCTCTCACTCCAAACATCTGCAAGGAGGCAGGTAGTCCAGCTGTTTCACATCTAACATATAAAAAAATAAATAAACTTACTTTGGAGTACTTCAGTAAAACAGCTAGGATACAGAAAAAGGCACTGGTGATTTAAGCAGCTGCAGTTTAAAGCAAAGCTCAACATCAAACTAATGCATCTAAAAAAAAATAAGTAAGAAGGGTTTTCTCCTGAGAGAATCTGATTGTGATCCATAAACCCAGACATACTTCACCTCCTGCTGTGAGCTATTGTTGCTATCAAGATCAACGTCAGAGAGGATGATCAGTTACTTGAAAGGAGAACAAAATTATTCGTTAAATCCACTACAAGCTGGAGCCTCGGTGGTCCCTGGAGAATCAATGATAAATCTTCAGTTTAAAATTGGATATCTGCTTCTATCTAATCACTGATTGTAAACTCCTGCATTACAGCGGCCTACAACTCCCAGGATGCACGTGTACTGGTAACATTTGTTCCATTTACTTTTACAACTTTGAGGAAGAACTGGGAATGACATCATTTTATGGGTTGCAGTATGAAGTCAGGACATGTAATACTATTATCATTATATTACTCGAATATGGTCATGAAATATCCATCACTGCAATTATTTCTGGGACAATGTGTCCAGCAAAATTTGTTATTGCAACAGGCCTATATGCAATACTGCAGTTGACCACAAGGGACAGCCTCTTGTCTCAAAATACTGTAACTCTTTATTTGAAGGGGGTTGAATAAGACTGTCATGACACTTTCATAAACATGACATAAACTTTACCTTTAATAACATAAAGTTACCTCATTTTTAAAGTGCAATCAGTAATACTTTTATAACAAATTTATATCAGTAATGATTTCTTGGTTAATGTCAAGTTGTCATAACAAAGACATTTTGAATAATGTCAACTTTGTATTAAAAGTGTCATAATTTACCGAATGACGCTTTATGACAACAGTCATAAATACTCATGAAGACTTATTTATGTTCATGACAGGTGTTATGTCATGTTTATGACAGTGTCATGACAGTCTTATTCACCCCCGTTCAAATAAAGTGTTACCCAAAATACTGAAGAATAATTTTGTATTTGACAAACGTCCTTTACTTATCCCCAAAAATCCAGTTAAAGTTGCAATTTTTATATAAAAAAAGTGCTTTTTAAACATCTGCCAAAACTGTTGCTATGCTATGATATGAGACTGAAAAATCCCCCCTGTGGTCCTACTGCCATCTGCAGAAAAACAGCCAGTCGGTCAGAAACAACCAATCAGAGTCAGGAGGATGGTTTTGGCGAGTAGTTCTAACTGGGACTCTAACTGGGACACAGATCAGGTGAAATGTCATTCTCAACTCCCACTTCCAAACTAACATGATTTTACCCCACTGGTGAATCAATGAGACATGAGAACCTGCCTCGAGGCTGACTGGATCCAGGTGCAGACTGGGAAAACTGCTTCAAATAAGGCACGATTTGTTGAGAAATCTTTAGATCCCACCTTCTTTACGTTCCCACTAAGTTGTGTTTTCACATGTCAGAATTAAAACTTCCCCAGCTCAGTTAGTAAATGATGACGAACTAAAGCTTACAGTTAACATGGAGGGAGTATCGGTGATTGAACTAATTAGAAATGTTTCGGAGACAGGGATAAAAAACAAAGATTATTTTGGGTGTCACAGTGTCCCGTTCAGTCTGGAATATGCGGTGGTGAAGTTCAGGGGTCCACAAAGGACACTGCAATGTAGCGGACCCCCGCAGTGGTGGGCAGGCCTTCGTGGTAGTGAGTGAGGCGGCCGGGGTGCATGAGGGCCCAGCCTTTCCGGGGGGCCTGGATGGAGCAGTCGTATCGGAGGAAGCGGCATCCACCACCCTGCATCCATAAAACAACACTTTACAGCTTTCACTCTAAACACATCTCAAACACATCTCGACTGAAGGTCGACTCATCTTTGAATTCAAGCAAAAATAACAACAAACAAAAAACACACAACACAGTCTCTAAAGATACAAAAAAAATATCTTAAAAAGCTTTGGCCTCATGTCAGCAACACGTTTCAAGAGGAAAACCAGGTTTCCATTAGGTCACTGATGGGCGTCATCAGTAAGAAATTAAATGTTTCTGACTGGAGTTTGGCAAAAAAAAAAAAAGATTCAGTTTTTGAATAATATTTCTTTCCAGTTTGAAAGAAACACCTTTAAAGCTGAAGTTGAGATTTAAAGCCAAAATGACATTTTCTATTGCATCTGAAGGATGCAGAAAGCTGTCAAAGCAGCTCCACACCTTTTTAAAATGAAAATAATTTATCAATCTGGAAAGACGTCAAAGTTTAAAAGCCAATATAATCAGTCACTTACATGTGATTTCATCCTTTTATCTCGTTGTCAGGAGCTAAGACTACTGTACCTCCTAACTGTATTCATCACGTGTGTGAACGCTCCAGACGTTTACTGGAGCGTAAACGTCCAGCTTTCACTGTCGGTCAGCATTGTTGCTCCAAAATCTGTGAGGTGCAGAGCAGAGGGGCCGCTGTTTGCTTACCTGGTAGTCAATGCCGACTTGGTTGAGTGCAATGTTTATAGTGAATGTGGAGGCGTCATGATGCGGCCGCAGAGACGGCTGCTCGTCTGGCTTGTATCTAACTACGAAGGCCAAGTCAAACTGAGCCTGCAAACACACAGACACGCAGCAGATATAAAAACCTAAAACAAAACTAAGAACTGGAACCTCATTGACTCAATCACTTTAGTTTCCGTTACTTTATTTTAGCACTTATTTTAGACATAACTGTGTCGATGTTGAATTGACTTGTTGCTGAAATTTACTATAAATAACAGCCAATAAACTTGCCTTGCGTTGCTTTAAGGCAGATGCAGAAAATCTCCATGAATTTGTTTAATTTGAAAGCTAGTCTGTAGTTTGGTCACAGGGTGGCGCTACAGGACAGTGCAAAGTGCAAAATCCCAGCCTGTTTCCTGTACTCTTTTAAAGCTGTCTTCAATATTAGTACGTGAAACTATTAACTAGTTTCACTAACTAGTTATTAGTTAGCAAATGCAGAATTATGCTGTGGCAGCGGATCATTTAGGGTTCAGAGGTCTCACCTTGGTGTAGTACCCAGGGAACATTTTCTCTGTTATGGGTGCAACAAACTCCAGCAAGAACTTTTGCCATTCCTTTTCATAGTTGACCTGGTTCATGTGGATGTCGATGGTGGGGACGTTCTCATAGCCCCCCTGGATTCTGGTATCCTGGGAAACAAACCAATCCAAATGTATCACTGAGGGACGGCATGGACCGAGACAGCAGAGAAAACACTCATGACACAAGCAGCTACGTCCGCTCTGAGCCTCACTGATCCCTCACAAGGTGAGGGATGAACACGTCCATGCAACAGCTTACCATGTTTCCCCCTCCTGACCACTTGCCAAAGTGTTCCATTTCTTCAACGAGATGGTCGCAGGCCACATCATTGAACAATGGGAACCAGTAAACGTCTGGACACGGCTAGAGAGAACACAGAACCGATCAACCCCAGGTTAGAGAGTCATTTCAGTTTGGTGGGTTCTCTCTGGAATCTGGCTTCATGCTGCTTCTCACATTTTCAATCAGTTTGTCCTTAATCATGCGGGTGTAATTCTCGTGGATGTAACGTTCCTGCCAGTCCTGAAACACACACAGACAGACCACACTCGCATCAGTTCAACACTATCCATCCGTCCATCTATCAGTCCGTCCGTCCTTACCAGAGGATTTTCAAAGATCTGCCACAGATCATTGTGAAGATGTTCTGTCCTGTACTTCTCTGTCGACAGAATGCGGCCAAATGTGTGTAAGTTGTTTACGTACATGAAGACACCCTGGCAAAAGGACAAGACAGAGTCGCAGGTTTAAGGCTACGGAGAAACTTTTCATAATAATGTTTAACAAAACCTCTGAATCAGAGTCTCATTGTGAATCTCTGCTGTCCTGAAGACCTTGCTGCGAACGTTGTGGCAGAAAGCCATGTCGGGGTCTAAGCTCTCCGAGGTAAACAGCTGGTAGTCCTTCAGCTCTGCCTGCAGCAGGCTCGCCTTCACCAAGTAGACGCTGGAAATGTACGGCACATTCCACAAACCCCTGCAAAAGAATTTCAAAGCAAACATGAGGATCCGACATCAGGAAGAGACTGTGACAGAACGCTGCAGATTCTAAAGGAACAAGGCTTTTACAAAAGGCTTTTTAGTATTATTGTCCCTCTTCACTGATTCTAGAATCGTTGCAACATGTTGGAATAGCTTTTTGTATAATATGATTTCTTTTAGTTTATTTGGACAATTATTCCTCTGGTTTTGGATTCTGTGCCGCTGGAAGAATTTGTGCTCTTGTATTTTTACGGTTATGTTTTTACAAGTAGGTGCAGCTGGTTAGCTTCTCAAAAAATAAAATATTTTCAATTGAACTGAAATGTTTTTTTAATTCTTCAGTAAAAACTGTCCGTTTCCTGGTCTGATCCAGAAACAGGTTCTGTTTCGTCTGGATCTACAGCTGGCTTCAACTTTGACCTTTTCTCTCATCACGACTTTTCCCTCCAACATAGCTGTTTATTTTAATCACCACTTTAGAACTTTCCAGTGGTTGGTCCGATCTAAGTAAACATAATTTCCTATCAAATTATTGATCATCAGTCTACCCGGTAACATAGCATTCAAGTCCTTGGGGGACACCAGCAGACTCACACTCTCCGTCCTTGGACGATGTCCACGTAGTCCTCAGAACGGGCATAGTATCCGTCCGCGCTGAGCGCCCCCCAGAAGTTGCTCCACAGTCGGCCCACTCTAGTTATCATGGGCGCCACGATGGGCCTGGGGCACCGGGGGACAAGCAGTAAATAAACCATTACAGTTTGTGCAACAGAAATCAAATCTGATCTTTAATTTTATTTTTTATGTACTTACAGGTTTTGCTTAATCAAGATTTTCAATGTGTTCTCGTTCTTTAGGACCACCTCAATGTCCAAGTTGAAGAAATAATCACACTCCTTGTCTTTCCGGCACATGTCACTGCAAGACAAAGCAGAGGTGCTAGGGTTGTTAACCCTTTACAGGTTTTTAACTTTTCAACCACAATGAAGTTTTCTGCACCATCATCTGTAAAATGGAGTAAACAGCTCAGGCAAAGCCAGGGCCCCGGAACAGCCGGCATCAGAGCTGCTCAGATTTATTGAGACCACAGATCTTACAGGTTGGTTCAGGGGTGTCCAAACGTTTTGTCGTGAGTATTTGCAGGCCACATATTTGTTAAACTTTTCTTGTAACCCCTCAACAATAAACTGAGGATTTGCTGTCTTTTTTCCAAGAATTGAGTATTTTAAATCAACAAGTAGATTTTTTTGTAGCAAGGGTTGTGTAAATCAGTGTAGATCCAAAGCTCACTGCACCTTTGTCTCATTAGATGTCGAGTTTGAATTCATCTGGCCTCAAACTGAAAAACTATTCTCAGTAATTGAAGAAAAGATCCAAAGTGGTAAAAACTTTTTTTATTTTTTTGATCAGGCTGTGTGTATAGAGCTGCTTAATACTCTTCAAACTATAACATGTGTGACGAAATTTAAACGGGGCCTGTTGGAACCCAGCGTTCTGATGCTAAATGTTAGCATCAATGCTAATCTTAGCTAAACTTTACTAAACAGCATGTGGAGAATCACAAGCATGATGACTAACATGGACTTACTCCATTCAGTATGTTAAAATTAGTGTGTAAGCTAAAATTTGCCAAAATGCTCATTTTTATCATAAATGCTGTCAGTAGCATGTGGGGTATCACTAGCAATGTTCTCTTGCATTGACTTCCTCCATTTAGTATAACAGCTAATAGATAAATAATAGCTAAAATGCTCATTCTGGAGAAAAGGCTAATGCCTACTGGGGGGCAGTAAAATGCTAATATTTTTGCAGCAGTATGGGACTCATCCTTTCTTGCTTTTCTCACTCCTTCTTGTTGAATGAAAGTAACTCTTAGACTAATCTAATTTGCATGTTAGCAAATTGGATTAGTGGGGCTTCTCTATCTATCCACACAGGATCATCTTTCTGTCCTGCCGTAGTGGTTGCCATGACACTGGAAGTCATGAAAAAAATGTTTTGAGCATAAACTGAAACTCACAAGGCCATGTCACGAGCATCTGCTCCGTCCATCTCCTCCTCGGGTCGGATGGATTTTACATCCAGATACAGACTCCCGTGATTCTGCAGGAAGGAGCTGACCTGCTGCTCATGATGAGGCTCCTGCAAGAACAAAAGATTTAATGAGTTTATTATGTCCATCTGTTCTCTGTAGACAAAGCAGGACAGACAGGATCGTTCATGTTCGCAATGTGGCAGCTTTAGAACTGCTGGATGTGGATTTACACCAGGACTACTGCAATTGTTTCTTCCTGTTAAATACAGTATTGACACACAAAAATAATAATGTTCTGATTCTCTTCACAGTGGTTCCTTCCACAGAAACACTTTCATGACTGAGAGAGCGTTAGAAATAAAAAGAGAAACAATGACCCGTGGAGCTACTGTTTCAGTTCAGTCTGGCAACCAAGCCAAAAAAACTCTACGGTCACCTTTAACCCAGACTTCAGAACCCTTCACTACTGAAACATGCTTACCTGTAGGAGTCTTAGTCCTCAGTGAACCAGCTGGTCTACAGGCTGTCGGTCTTTAGGTTCCCTTTTTACAGTAGTTATAATCACCAAAACTATTTCTATTTGCTAAATGCCGCAATAGCAAGAGAAACAAAATGTCTGAAATTTATTTATTAGTCTTCAAAATCGTAAGTTTTCTAACTAAACATAAACAAGGGATGTATGGCCTGATTTAACTTCAGACAGTGAATTAAAAGTTGGATCTGCCCAGGATGTGACTCTAAATCCAGGTCTCCACAGGATAATAACAATACATTGACCATTTTATGCTATTTTGTTCTCAACGCATTCCACTATGTAATAAATAAAGATTTGCAACTGAAATATTTTTTTTCAATGTGATCTAGGATGTGTTATTTTTTGAGAAGTGCACATCAGGGGTCACCTGGTTGGAAATGAAGAGCTTGAGTCTGTTCTTCGGGTACTGGAGCTTCAGGAGACGTTCGAAGAAGACGGACACAAATGGCGTTGGCTGCTGAATGAAGATCCCGATCACCACCAGAGGGTACTCACTTTCCTGTAGAAAACAACAACGGACTTTGTCCGACTACTGTTTTGCACAGACTTAAATGTATTTCATGGAAAACCTGGTTGGAAAAGCCGTGGCTGGTCGGTCGAGAAGTGAGCTGACCTTCAGGGATGAGAGTGAGCGCAGGTTCTCGAGGCAAACGGTGCAACCGGTCTCAAACGTCCACGAGTTGGGGACGTAGTTACCCAGGTAGTTCATCTGGAGCTGGAAAAAAAACGTGTTCCTGTTGGTCATCACAGCACACCTAGGAGTCCACTTTTCTCAACCCGATACAGATGTCTGTTCAGTGTCAGAAAAACAGCACTGTCTCTTTTTTTAAAACAGAAATAAATTTATTTAATTACTAATTTATTTGATAACTCTGCACCAGCACAGCATAGATAAATACACCGATAGCCTCACAAGCTCGATCAACATGTAAAAACAAATACAACTTTAATTTGTCCAGTCGGTGCAACTCGGAGCCGTTGTAATTTAAACAACAAAGCAGCTGAAGCTGACAAAAGCAGTAAGTTGATCAAACACGTAAAAAATGAAACGCAACAAACTGTTTGTCAAATGGTTCAGACAGTGCAATTAGTAATTCTAAATATACTGTAAAATAAATAGCTCAGAGCATTGAATTTGCTTTGTGCTGAAAAGATTTGCCCATATGGATCGGGCAAACCCGTCTGGAATGTTTTTTTTTTTTTTTTTTTTTCCAATTCCAGAACCAGTGCATGTATTAATACTGGATCTGTGCATCTCTAGTCACAACTTAAAAAAATATTTTAAAGGCTAAACCTTTTCTGCCAACAGAATGCTGCCCAAGTACTCTGTGTAGCTGCTTTGTAGCTGACAGTCGTAGTGAAACATTAGCAGCTTTTCATTCCTTTTCTCTGTCTGCAGTACCTTAGTTGGTCCGTTCCCATGGAGGATGACGGGCAGGGTGTCATATTGGACATTTCTGGCCCGAACTCGACCGTCTTCAAACTTCAGCACCACCTCATCTGGAAGCACAAACATAAATAGAACTGACCAGGCACAACATTATGACCGACCTGCAGCTCTGTACAGCTGAACCCACATGAAGTTCTTCATGTTTGAGCTCATTTGTTGGATCCAAACAAGTTCACAGGGCGTGGTATGTTTACGGCACATTTAAAGGCAGCAACAGCTAACCAACATGATAAACTACCATAAAACTCTAAAATACAGACATGTTAAAATAACTAAAATAAACTCAGCCAATACAGATATGTTCAGGCAATATGTATGTATTTTTTCTAAACAGAGATTTAAGGTGTTGAGGTGTTAAGATCTAGAAAAAATATATTTAGTTTTACTTCCTCTGATGTACAAAACTGTTAGCTGGAAAACTAATACGTTTCACTAAAGGTAAAAACACAAATAGTTATCTATTCCAGGAAGGATATTGATGGCTCCTAACAGAGTAGCAAATATAACAGGGTGGGCTTTCCGGCCCACTGAAGTGTCAGAGTGATGTGTGGCCACTAAGTTAAACGGTGAAAATCTGGTTGAGGTGTTAAAACACTCACCAAGAGCTCCATGAAGGTTCTGGAACAACCTGCACTTGGTGTCCAGGGTGATGTTTAAGGCCTTCTGAAAATACATTTAGAAACAGCCGAGTGAGTTAAAATTACTAGTTGATTGTTTACATTTTCAGCTCATTCGTGTTTGCATGTAAATATTTATTCGTGTGTTCTTGTCCTGCACGGTTGAAGTGTGGCTGAAAAGGGAAAAGTTGTGCCACTGGAAGCTTTTTAACATGAAACACGTGCAGGACATGAGGAGTCTCATTAGTTGTGGCTGAGTGCTTTGATTAAAGGGGCTTGCTTGTGTAATTGCAGTGACACATGTCTTACCCTTCTAGCTGGATCTATGTAAACCTTAGTGAAGAAGAGCTGGTCGCTGTCGCTGTCTGCTCCCGTCCAGTTAGCGACCATCTCTCTGATGTTGGGAATGTAGCCCATGAAACCTGGGAACCAAATAAAGTCAACAAAACACCGCCTGACTTCAGTCACAACTCCATGGAGGTGTGGGTGCGTGTGTGTCGGTTCCACGTCGGCGGTACTAATGAGGGCTTCCAGGCACAGATTTACAGGCTCCATAGTCAGCAATTCACCAGCCTGTAAAATCTATGAACAGCCACGTCAGCAGCTTCTGTGCACACAGAACACCACTCGGAGACAGAAAGATTAACTAGAGAACGCCGAACTGAATATTTCAAAGAGAGCGACGAACGACAACAACAGGTGATGGTTTTCTACAGCAGCAGACGGCAACAGAAGTTGAACATTTTTCAACGTTCTCGTGTTGCGCCATTAGCCCAAGTGTGCGCATCAAAATTTCACAAATTATGCTGCTCACTCGGCTGCAGGAGGACAAGTGACTGCTGCCTCATCGCACACGGTCCGTGTGATGTTATTGTTATAGAGACATTTCTAAATGAATGTTTCAGTCAAAATGACTTCCTTTATGCAGGAAAATTAAATCGCTGAAAACTGATAATCTTCAGACATGTTTGGTTTGAGACAATAAAACATTTTCTTAAACATTTTTTGAAAGCGTGCTTGTTTTTGATATGGGCCATATGGGCAGTTCTCCAGGGCAGCATAAGAACGTGGTGGGGCGTCCGAGAATTAGAAAATAAAACGTATCTTATCTGTCAGTTGTCCCCTGCACAAGTTTGCTGCTACTTGTATGTGTGTGAAGTGGAGAAAGTTTCCCTTAGTCGCTGTTGAGTGATGAGAAGTTACATCACCTGCTTTCAGATAATTTCTTACTGGTTGGAGTGTGGCGAGTGTGCACGACTGCGTGCATATTTATATTTCAAGCTTACAAAGTTAGGCATGGTGATTAAATGTGATTAATCAGAGAGCCAGAGTGTGATTAATCTGATTATCTGATCGATTGACAGCACTACTTAGTTACATGTAATCAAATTAAGTTTGTCAAACTTAATCTTTTTACATTTGTTTAGCATGACGACTTAATAGACTTAATACATTTACTGAGATAAACTGTTGTCATTTTTCAGTGTGGCAGATAACACAGTCTGAGAAAATAGTCCATGTTTAGCTGATTTAAAGAATTAAATGTTATTTTGTCCACCTATCGTAGCTGTTAGCAGTAAGAGACACGTGATCAGCCCTGGGCGACCCACCTCCTGAACCCAGAAACCTGTTGCCCTCCCTGACATGGGGGTACTTGTCCTCCAGATGTCTGTCTGGCCAGATGAGGCTCTCCGAGGAGAACACCACCTTGTGTTTGGCCTGCTGGAACTTCCTGAGAAGCTCTTTAGGACCCGAGGCGAAAACCACGTCGTAGCTGTGCCAACAAGGGAGAGAAAAAAGGAAACATTCACAGCTCGAATCTGGCTCCGCTGTGTGAAAAAAAAAAAAAGAAAAGGCTGAGAAGAGCGCTATAAAAGTGAGGAGTTAAGGTGCCAGTGGTTTTCATTCAAAAATGCTGGTTTTTGAATGGATTTTGCTTTTTTTTTCCCCTATTGCTGTCTCAGAGACGTAGTTTACGCGTAAGAATCCCATTTTCAGTCAATGTTTCTTTTAAAAGGATAGTTTGGGATTTCTAGCGTTTTGACCACATCTGAATGCGGTCAAATGGACCTATTAGCTATAAGACACTTTGGCTATAATACACTATCAAAACGTACAGAAAATGATAACCATCGCAATAAAACTAAACACGGCAAATTTTACATGTCCAGGACTCTTTCAACCTCTGACTCCTTTCTGTTTTCCTTCAAAGCAGCCAGATGGTTTACAACTGTAATTAAGCTTTTTAAATGTCTTTAGCTGGACTTTCCCTGAAGTTGACCATCTTCAGAGAAAGGTTTTTCTCATTTTTATCGCCCTTCACTTAGATCTATGAAAGATTCTGCTGTAAAAGCAAAAGGGAAAGAATAGACAAACCAGCAGGGAGGTGGATGCAGGTTAAATGTGAGCATCAGTCCCACCTGTCGATAAAGAGGATGACCTGGTCCTTGGACTTCATCTCCGCCACAGCAGCTTTCAACAAGCGAACCTTCTGACCTCCTCCTGGAGCCGACATGTAATCACCTCCCCTCCACTTCTCGCCTTGGCCGAGCACCTGGGAAAACAGCACAAAAAAGTTACAATTAGGGTTTTCTTTATTTTATCTAAAGAAATAGATTAGCTGTGTCTTACTTTTACAGTGTAGTTGAAGTGCTTAGCCGACCTCAGGAAACGCCTGAAGCCATCTGTCTCTTTGGTTGCAACAGTCAAAACTAAAAGTTTATCTGGAAGAAAAAATTATGAGATGGAAGAGTGGTCAAACGGTTTGCTTCATCCACTACAACATATATATTTTCGGTTCTAGAAAAAAAAGTGTACATAAACATATAAACTTGTTTGTTTCAACTTTGAAATGTTGCTTGGTTGTAAATTATAGGTTTTCCTTCACAGAGTAACTGGCCTGCTCACGACAGACAAAGTAAGAAAGTGTTGAGTGAAATGACGCTGGGCACAAGAGTCATTTAGCTCTGCTTTTCTTTGGCAGAGAACCAGAGGAAAACACAAACCAAACTTACAGAAAAGAAGCAATTAAGTCTTGAACTGTTTTCATGTCAGCACAAAAAAAACAAACAAAAATGTCTATTTAATGGTTCATTATTTAATTGTTGTAGCAATGGTTCTAAATAGTTAGTTGGAAACCTTTAAATTTGTATCACATTAAATTGAGCAGTAGACTTAAGAATCCATGAAAAACTTGCCAAATCCTCTGACAATGCCAGACAAATGATTCTGCTATTGACGTTTATCTCTCTGAGTGAACTGTGTGTAACCCAGTAGAACAGTAGACGAAGTCCTGCGTATCAGCAGGAGATTGAGGACCAACTGTCTTGTAACCCTGCTGTCACGGTTCAAATTTCAGAACTGCTTCCTAAATTTGGGATTTTTTTTCCCGATACGCATGTCTTCCAGTGCATACTGATCCACATATATATCACTTCCTGTGTGATTAAGTGTATAAAGCATGTAGTCTTTGTTTTCCAGAGCTGTGTACTCTGGGCTGTAAGAAGGTGTGTGTGTAAACTACTTTGCTGGAAATAATAAACTTGCAGAAACAATTTGTCTCTCCACTGTTTTCTTTGGTTTAGGACTCATGTTAAAAATCCTACAAAAGCATGTGCCACCATCAACTGAAGATTCGTAATGCTAACAAACAATATGAGCCATTTAGCCTCAATTGTTAGCAAACTAAAAAAAAAGCAACAGTTGTTAGGAGCTGTCTCAAAGGCCACAACAATCAGTAAAACACAACATTTATAGGAGTTTTGAAAGATTAAAATAAAAAGATAAAGTTAAAATCAAAGCATGGTTTAGACCATGCATACAGCATCTATGTGCGTGGTTTAGACCTGTATGCACAGACCATGCTGTGCATGCGGCATGGTCTGAACCATGCTGCTTTTAGATGTGTTCCTTGTCCAACAGTTCTCCAGTCCTGCTAATGACTATGTTACTCATGTGTGCTAAAATAGAGACACATCTAAACATTGCAGGACATCGACTACAACTCCTCTAAAAACTCTCAGAACTGTATATTTTACTCAAATAAACTGAATTCAAAACATTTACAAATGTAACAGAAAATGTAGACCAATCTATTTTTAAAAGTATTTTTATTCCTTTATCACTTGCTTCTAAATAAAAAAAAATATGTTTGTCTGGATAAAGATAACAGGTGTTGCACTGACTTAGCAGGAGCACTTAAGAAGCGCATTTAACAAGAATGTTTAACTGTAACATCTGAACTTTGTATAAAGTCAGTGTGATAGGGTTCTCTCTGAAACTGATTCAATTAGCTGAGAACTATTTCTCATGGTCTCTTTGTTTCTTTAGCATCGCTTCTACATAGTTCAAGTTTTGATAATAAACGACCATAATTCTATTAGACGTTGTGAGTGTTTGATGATGTAGAGAAGGAGCTGCAGGAGCCGGAGGCTATGTTTAACCAGCCCTCGGTCCTCTGCGGAATCCCGTCCACGTCAGCGACATGGAAGAGCTTCTCATGGTGCCGAAGTTAGCCTCTGCAGGACCATTTCTGTTAGGGAGCCTCAACTTCACAGAACTATTCATAGTTTAAAATACTGGAAACTAAACTGGATTAGTAAATATTTTACAACTGCGTTTTGGGAAAAATAAAATAAAATAAAACAACTTCCTCCATTCTATTATAATCAATTCTGGGTTTGGCAAGTAGGCTCCTGTCTTCAGCAAAACACTATACAATGTGGTCTTTATCCGCAAAACATTGCAACTCTCGTTTTTTTTTTGTTTTTTTTAACAAATAAATTATTCACAAATATCTGATTTTGCAGTCAATGTAAACTAGGTCAAGTTTAAACCTGTGAAGGTTGAATCACTAAAATCAGTTAAATAGTTCTTTATTACGTGTGAATCGGAAGTTAACTTCAGGACTGATTCTGAGCTGAAAGCAAATATATATTTATCACAAACTACACTATAAACAGATTGAAAAGTTTTTATTAAAGTCCCCAGATAAAGTAGGTTAGCATGAATAGTGATAATAATTTGGAATGAGGAAGTCCCAAAACTGAAAACCGTAACGACTAAAACAGATTTTTCTAACCGAGCTGACATTACTGCGTTGTCGTGTTTTAACTGCAGCGAATCTGCTGGAACGTTCTCTAAGCGAACCGATATAACCTCAACTACCAGAACACAGAGCGAGTTTAACTTCACCCGGAGCCACAGAGGCTGATGAGGAGAACCAGACACCGCGCTGATAGACTGAGAGTAGCCGCAGTCTGAGCGACATAACCCGGTGGGAATGTGAGCGGGGGCTCCGGCGGAATGCTCCACTTACCCTCCGGGATACGCTGATCTTCACAGTTCACCAGCGAGGAAAGTGCACATAAACACATCCATGAAAGGATGGGAAAACATAAGCGTTTCATGTTAACCAGAGTTTACAAAAATATGTAGCAGAATCCCAAAGTGTGCGAGGGTTTCCTGTGTGCTGCCTCGTCCCGGACCGAGAGCCTCACTGACTGTACACCCTACTGGGCTGCCTGGACGCTTCTACCACCCCCGTGTGCCTCTTCCCACCATTCCACTCTTCCTGTCTTTGCAACCAACGGTCACTTCACATCCGTGAAAAAATATTATAAAACGTTCAAAGTCTTGATGTTGTGGCGTTTTTGAAATGGACACTTATAGGTCATGGTGTAAATGAACCACCCTCTCCATGAGTGGGTGGGATAAAAACTTTTGGGAATGGAGGATATTATCCTCTTGTCTGGGGGACATGATTCCTTGCACGTAGACTTCCCCTCATACGACACTGTCCTAAAGGCTGAGTGAACGCCTCATTGTTTTAATACTGCGCTGAGGCAGAGTTTGCTGGGAAAATTGGTCTTGAATTACAATAAAACGACCTAATTTACCCATTGACTACTTTTTCAGTACTTTTGCTCATTTACCTTGATGCCATGACCACCACTTCTTCATAAAAGGTTCAAAATATCAGATTAGACAAGTGAAGGACTACACAGTCAGGTACATGTAAACACAATTTCAAGGGATTTTAGAGATTACAACTGTTGTGGCCAAAACAAAAATAAGTAGAGTCACACTTACAAAATAATCGTCATTGGGATGGTCCTATACCTCAAAGTCACTGCTTCTACACAGCCATCAATATCAGAAATGATCCAGGCAAAAGTAGGTTGACCTCTCCACAACAATAAAAGGTCACAGGTACAAGACAGAAGCTCTTCATAAATGCCAGTTCATCTAATATTTTATAGATTATCACAACTTTAAAGAATGGATCAAAAATAGATGAAGCTGTTTGCTTTTATTAAACTACAACTTATACTTTTTTCACTTGAAATGTAACAAAATCCTGAAGTTTTGGAACTAGCTCTCCGCCAACTTCATTTGTTTTCTCTGCCATAAAACATCGCAAATTATATAAATACACAAAAATACACAATGGTAAGGTAATTTCCAACTCCTCCTCAGCTCTTACTAGAGGTCAACAGAGTGCCCACCCTGCCTACTAAATACTGTACCAGTATTTTGGTAAAGCAACTATGAATGTGGCAACCCACCAAAGCTAAAACCGTGCTCCTGAAACAATGCTAATCACGCAACCTCATTCTACAAAAGCTAGTAAAGGGCACCACCTAAAGAGGTAGGTGGTTTACGAGTGGTGGTGTACAGGGAATTTTCTTTGTACTTGATGATTACCAGAGCAGACAAAAACACACACTGTATCCTCTAAACAACCATGGATCAATAACTTTTTGTTAATAATAACTGGGTAATTTGACCAACCAAACTCAGTTGGACTACATCATCTAATTAGTAAACACTGTGGTGGAAAATTTCCTTTGAATATTAATCTCTCTGAGTGAACGGTGTGTAACCAAGTAGAACAGAAGTCCTGCATATCAGCAGGAGATCTTGTAACCCTGCTGTCACTGTTCAGATTTCAGAAGTGCTTCCCATATTTGGGCTTGTTTTTCCTGATATGCATGTCTTCCAGTGCGTTCTGATCTAGATAGATATCAATTCTGGTGCAATTAAGTGTATTTAAAAAAAAAAAGCATGTAGCTAGTGTGTGTACGTGTGTAGTTATTTCAGGTTATTAAAGATAGAGGATAAAATGAATTTCTGGATTACACCTCCGTCCAGTTGATGGCGGTAATACACTAAGTCTGTAAACTGCCAGTAAACACCATAAAAGAAGAAGTAAAAGAAGAGACCACCGGAAGTGTCAGCCGTTGGAGTCTACTACAACGTCAGGTTGTTCCTTTTCGGGTTGATTAACAAATGCAACTAAAATATTTTGGACGTGATATTTTGATGAGCTTCATGCTTACTTGGTGAAGAATGTCAGACTTAAAAAGATGCGAGAAAGAAATGTTCCACTGAGTTGGTTCTCAGCGCTAGCTACTTAGCTAAGCTATCCTCCCCGGTGGAACCTGACAACTAAACTGAACGGGACACTTTCAGTTTGCCTTCAGCTGAGGAAACTGAACCTTGAAGTTAATGCGGCTCCTTAGACTCATCTCTGCCTATCGGAACTTGAGCCAACACCATAAATGTAGCTTCCTGAACAGAATCCGACACCTGAAATGAATGCAAGACTTTAAAGTGACCCGTAAGCACTCGGGGTGTTGTGTTGACACGCAGACTCGCATCTGGGCTTCCGTTGTTTGAACAGAAAATGTGGCTGCAGCAGAGACTGAAGGGGCTACCGGGCTTGTTGTCGAGTAGCTGGGCGCGAAGGGTCCTCATCGGGACGCTCCTCTTCCTCATCTTCTACTGGTTCCTGGGGGCAGAGCGCAGGTGGACGTTCCTGGGCGGTTCGGCTGTGCCCGGAGGCGCGGCGGGGGAGTGCCTCCAGAGTGAGATCCACAAGTGGAAATCCACAGCGGAAAGGGGAGAGGGGATCTACAGCACCCCCTCTGAGCCCCTGGACACGCCTTTCGTGTCGGGGAACGGCCATATTCTCATCGATGTGGGCGCCAACAAGTTGTGGGTGGCTTCGTCTTCACAGCCGGGCTCAGCCCCGGTTCACCAAACCGAACACTCTCCGAGGGTCAACGTCCGCCTTGTGGGGGGACTGGCCGAGGCTGAAGCCAAGTTCCTGGGGTACCGGAAGGGAGCAGTCCTCTCGGTCCGGTGCGCCTCGCCGGCCGCGGTGCAGTCCGCCCGGGACTGTGTGTCCATCCGAGAGGAGTTCATCGCCCACCGGAGCCGACCCAACGTGTACCTGCAACGAATCCACATCAACAACCCCTCAGATCGGGTCGCTAACGTGGACATATCACCCGGCAGCCAGCCAGGATCGAGGAGCAGGTTTTCCTCCAGCGTGGACACGCTCGGCGACAGAGAGGTGGAGCTGTCCTCCGGAACGGTGCAGGTGGAGAACAGCCAGGTCGTGCTGCTGGTGGTGGTCACCAGAAAGCTGAAGAACAGGATCCAGGTCGCTGCAAAATCCGAGTACTCGGACAACATCCTGTCTGTGGTCTGGACCTCAGAGCCCATCGAGTCCTCGAAGGTGGAGGCGGCCTTCAGCAGCCTCAGAGATGGCGCCAAGAAGGAGATGGAGGAGCTTCTGAGGGCTGACGTGAAGGAGCTGGTTCAGAAACACCAGCAGGCCTGGATGGACCTCTTTAGCTCAGGTAAGCAGCTCACTGACTCTGTGTTTTTACAGTTCTGAGCCAAACATCAGCCAGATCTGTGCTAAACTGTCAGCCCATCACTCAATCCTTTATGCCTTCCTTCCAAGCTGCCTGAAGTTCTTAAAGGAGCTCATGCTATGTACATTTGAGACGCATAGTGCCATTTTATAGCACAATCAAGTATGAGTGCACCGATTACAGTTTTCTGGCTGATCAGTGATCTTTACAAAGCCTGACCTGCCATACAAATATTTTTGTCTGAAATGTTGCTATAGATAGAAAGAAAGTCCCTGAGTTGGCAGTGATGGGGTGGCCATTGTTAACTGCAGACATGACCTGGTGTGTGGGTCTGGCAGTCAAGCCTGTCTCACAGCAGAAAAATAGAGGACAGTGGTTGATTTTGAGACCTTTGCTCAGATAGATAAGATAGGTGCATAAGAACGTCTTTAAGGCCAGTTTATCAGTGCACTCCTCAGGGCTTCCCCCAGAGAACTTGCTAAGTTTGGTGATTGGGGTACCAGCAGCCCATTTTGTTTTTTGTATTGGAAAAATGTTACATTGACAGGAATTGTAAAAACATTACTGGTTAACTATACTACTGTGAGACATTGTTGACAATGCTTAAACACACAAATGGTTTTAAAATCAACAAACCAAAAAAAACAACAAAAAAAAACTAGTTAAACAAATATAACATTTTTGTACATCTGTTAGATCTCAAATAGGTAATGAGCCTGTGAAACAAAAAACATGATGTAAGGCTGATCACAAAATTAGAGAAAACCCAAGGCATACAGGAACTAAGCAGCTGCTGCAAAACTGCAACAAAAACGCGTTTTTTCGAATTTCACTATTCACCCGATCAACGGCATGATCAAGGTTGCCACTGGCAAAAATGATGAAAACAATAACGGCAGGAAACAGCATGAGGATGATGGGTTTTTTTCCCCAGACAATGTGCAGCTGGCTCCACCAGAGCCATCACAGTTCATACAGTTCATAAAAAGTTGTGTGTTTAATCCATGTCTGTTCTGTAAAATCACTGACAACAGTTTGCCCAAAACACCAGCCTCTGAAGGCTAATGGATGATCAGTGCCATTGGCACGGCTGAATTATGAGTATAATCTCATGTAACGGTTTAGAACCATCACTGACATATTTTTTAATGACTCATCACATGAACAAGTATATTCATATGTGATTTTAATTCAACTTCTTATTTAATGGAAACACAGCAAATGTGAAATTGTGGGGAGGGGGGGGGGAGGGGTTGACATAAGCAGAATATCGGCAAACATTTGCCCACATTAGGAACGGAAACCCAGCTACTGACCAGATGAAATTCTGTCTGTTGAATTCAGGTATCGAAATGAGAAAGATCACGGACTCCCACACGCCGTCCAGCCGCACCGTGAACAACACCCTCTACTACATCCTGTCCTCCTCCACGGCGCCTCTGCTCGACCAGCGGCCGAGCGCGGAGGAGCGTGCGCGCCTCGTGTCCAGCCTCAACTACGCCGACCACTGCTTCAGCGGCCACGCCACCATGCACGCCGAGAACCTGTGGCCTGAACGCGTGAGCAACACGGCTCAGATCCTGCAGCTGGTCACGCTGTGGACCCTCACCCTGCAGAAGAGGGGCTGCAAGGTGCTGGTTGCCGCCGGCGCCCACGGGGCCATGCAGGGCATGGTGCTCAGCTTTGGCGGCCTCCAGTTCACAGAGAACCACCTTCAGTTCCAGGCCGACCCGGACGTGCTGCACAACAGCTACGCCCTGCGAGGGATCCACTACAACCAGGACCTGATCAACCTGGCCGTGTTGCTGGACGGCGAGGGGAAGCCCTTCCTGCACCTGTCGGTGCGGCAGCAGGAGGCGGCAGTCAAGCTGTACGCCTGCGAGGCCGGCTGCCTCAACGAGCCTGTCGAGCTCACCTCCGAGGTCAAAGGCCACACGTTCCCCGTCATGGTGACCCAGCCCATCACGCCACTGCTCTACATCTCCACCGACCTGCGCCACCTGCAGGACCTGCGCCACACGCTGCACCTCAAGGCCATCCTGGCTCACGAGGAGCACATGGCGAACAGATACCCCGGCCTGCCCTTTCTGTTCTGGTTCAGTGTGGCGTCGCTCATCACCCTGTTCCACCTCTTCCTGTTTAAACTCATCTACAACGAGTACTGCGGCCCCGGCGCCAAGCCTTTCTTCAGGAGCAAGGTATAAACGGCGCTGACAAAAGCCAGCTTCCCTCTAATCTGCTCTCTTGTTTGTGTCCAGCGTGTCTTCTCTCTGCTCACTCTCTCTGTGGGGCTCTTGGTCTGAAATGAGGTTCTGTGAGTGAACACCAGAGTGGGCAGCCATAGCCTTAAACACTTTCCTCCCTCCGTCCCCCCCCTCTGTTGAGAGATGATTGGTCAGCGTTGGCTCTGGGTGGAAGGACTTGGTGCTCTGCAGCTGCAAACAATGAAACGATCCAAACTGAAATCCTTTTTCTAAGATCGGCAACACGTCTGGCTTCCAGCATCTCGTTAGCACACTTCCTGCTCTCTTCACGTCCGCCGTGGATTGGAAGGAAACGTTGGTCGCTGTGGAAGGACGACAAGCACAAGAAATCTTTTCCTTTGCCAATATTTTGCTGTTCATCTCTGCCAGTTTGGGTTTGTTGGAAGAGGTGTTACGTTTTTTATGAAGATCATCATCTGATGGTTTTTCAAAGTAAATAAGAACATCCAGAAGTTTCTGCTCTTTTCTTCCCAGCAGTCAGACGTTCTTTTAATGTTTTAAAGAGGTCCTCATTTGCAGTTCTCCAGACTTTCTGAAGCAACACGTCAGGGGGAGGTTTTTCTTTTCTAAGAACTCCTAGTTCAAATTTTTACATCCCCGTTGTCTAGGATATTCAGACATGTTGAACGACTGGACTGAAAATGTTGGAAAACAGCAGTAAAGTTGCTAGAGAACCTTTAAAACTATTGATCCAGACCAGTTCAAGAGATCACTAGAACGTCTGAGTGCTTGGATGGACTGGATCAGAATCCCCATTGCTGCAGATCTGTCTGTCATAGAAACCTGTAGCCTCATGTTGAACAACAGCCAAGTCTTCACCTTATGCATAAATGGTGTAATGTAGTCAGTAGGAGGCGCTGTGGGCATGTTGACAAGTGTTGGTGATAAACCCAGAGAAATGAAATGACACTAGGCCAGGTTGGGGTTCGGTTATCATCTTTAACTGGGCTGATTGGTTCCTGTCCCTGTGCCAGAATCAGCTGATCACTTCTGTAATCCAGTATGGAGTACTACTCTGGTGAGTCCTGTCCAAGTCTTTGTGAAAAGTACAAATATACTTCACACATCCAGACACCTAAAACCTTGTTGGTACCACGGAGTGTTGGGGCCAGAGTAAGAGATTTTATTTATTTTTAAATTACAATAAAGTCATAATATGCAACATTACCAGATAAAAGTAAAAAAAAAAAAAAGTTGTTTTAGTGAGAAAAAAGCTTTGATAACTATTACGATCTAACGTGACCAGCTCAGCAAGTCCCCGATTCTTTCTTCAAAATATACTTTGTTGTTTGCAGAATCGCTTCAAAGTCTTAAAGCTGCTGATAATAATTTAACTTTGATGTGTTAAAAGATTAAGCATTTCTTTATTTGTAAAACTAATACTAAAGTATAACTTCACAAGTTGCTCAACATTCCCCATTTTATCTTTTGATTATTTTTCTTGGAGAAATTCTCATAAAATGACCGCTTCATTCTCCTACTATACAACCATATTCTGGTCATACTATTACTTAATTCTTGCATTGTCGTGACTTAATTGTCATATGACTTTTTGTAATACGACATTCTTGAAGTGAAAAAGCATTCTTGGCCTGGCCCTAATACTCCATTGTGTGTTGGAAATTTATTATCTTTATTACAGCTAAATATAGTTTTTCAAGAACTATATTGATTGTCTTAATGCAGACAGATCTGTTCCACACTTATCTAGACACAAATGCCACACACACACCGTTGATGCTCAGTGTGATCAGTGAGCCACTCTCAGTGTAACTCCTTGCGATCTGATGAATCTGTGTGACGCTGTGATCAGGGATCAGAACCTGGTGCTCAGGAAGTCATCTGGAGGAACATCCTCAGAGAGGATTCTGGGATTCATAAGAAGGCAGGTTGAGGTCGACATGATGGAGCCCTTCACAGCTGTTTGTTTCCTCTCTGAGGAGGGTTTAGACCTGCATAGACGCCTCTGGCTCGGTGCAGGCGTCAGTTGCCGTTTCCAGCTGTTGTGCCAAGCAGCTGGGAGGACCTGCCACACTCTTGAGACAGGCCGGTCTCTGAATGCATGAACTGCTCCGTCTCTCTGCTTGGACTCTTTCTGCTCTCTTTTTTTTTCTGCCTTTTTCATAATGTTTTATATTGAATCACATGATTAAATTAACAACAAACCTGTGGCTTTGGTTCTTTACTGCCCACACCCCCTCTTCCTCCTCCTCCTGCCTTGCTGTCTGTGTCTAGTCAGGGGTGGGGGCAGCCAGTTTCTGCCATGCCTCACCTGTTCTAACGCTCCGCTCTGACTCCACCAGGTCTCCAGCAAAAGGGAAGACGACTGCTGCGACTCCTCGGAGGTCGCTTAAGCGTAGCTTCAGCGCGGGTTTGCTGCTGCTACTGTTGTTGTGGACATATTGACATGGTGGGTGGCTTGTTTGCTGTTCGCTCTGATTCTAAAATCTCTGACCTCCAACTCAGAGGTCAGAGGAGTTTTATGGAAAATAACATCCAACATGGCGAATATTGCCCAGACATCAGTTGTTAACCCAAACCCACAGGGCTGGATTTGGCAATAACGCTCTTAAAAATCATTTGTTTTACTCTGCATGAGTAAATGTACTGAAATTTTGTTTTTTAAAAAAAATCACAACTTATAAGTTAGAACTGTATATGAAACCGGTCTTTTGTAGAAGATTCTCTAGATTAAACCTTTAAAACAAAAAAGATGCTGACCATTTTCAGGTTCATCTGAACCAGTCCTGATTGGTTCAGACATGGTGGTGTGAGCCACCAGGTCAAACAGGAAGAGCTGAATATAAGCCAGGCGATCCAGGTGGAAAGCAGCAGTTTCGGCCTTCTGTTCACCTTTCACCCATTTCATTAGAACCTGCAAAATCACTGCAGCATGCAAAGGTTTCCATCCACCATTTACTTCTTTAAACCTGGCTTCGGTGTGATAAGCAGGCATGTTTTCTAATGGCGTTGTGCAGAAAAAAAATATTTAAAAACCAAGTTATCTTTCTGGTTTTAATATAACAAAGAAATATCAGAGTAAATAGTTTGATGCTGGTGGTAACAAAGTGCCTAACTATAATTTTAAATTAATTTTTTGTCAAGTTGGTACATGTTGATTATCGTTTTTTTTTTTTTTTTTCTGTGTAAAACACTAAAGACATGACAAAGGACTGTTAATCAGAGGTAGGGAGGGCTGGACCAGGCATGCCTGTATGGAGGATTAAAAAGGACAAAATTAATACATTGTCGTTAAATAAATTCACCACAAAATAAATACTTAATCAGATGTTTAAATATGCCATTAAATAATTTAAATGCACACTTGAGATAGTTAATCAAATGTATGTTTATTTATTTCACAGTTCCTATTTTTGAAGCATACCAGTGAAACAATCTGACAAATTCGCCTATCAATCAAGAGGCAGGGCTAACACCGATCTATTTAACTCCACTAGTGTGATTTGATGTTCGGCATTCGACCAATTCTTTGACTTTACCCTCCACATAGTCTGGATGCTAATTATGTAATCTCTCCATCTCGCAGAAAAGCTCCTGAAAATTCTCCTTTAGAAAGGCTACCATGATTTTCAAAGAATCAGGCTAAACTAGTGGAGTACAAGTTGGCCCCTCTGATTTTGATTTGCGAGTTTAACTGATTAAAATTATTTAATTAATTATCTCAATTGACTGCTATAAGTTTGACCTTTTTTTTTTTACCGTCCGTATGTATGAGGGTACTATGGGCTGATTAGACAGCAGAAGCATAAATTAGTGAAAATTGTTCTGAAACATTTGGGCCCCACTTGGGGTCTGCTGGTCAGATATTTATTCACAGCCAGTCCCAGTATTGGTCTTTTAGAACTAAAATCTTCTGCAGAGGAGGGTCTGGGTTTTTCTTTAGAGCTTTAACAGTTTACCCATTCAATGCTTTGCTAATTGTTCACAGGGAAACTGAACAGTTCTGCTAATAAAGCATTCACATGGTGACTTGTGATAAATGAAATAAACAGTGTTAATGTCGGTCTGCATCGGGGTCTTTGCAAACATTGACCCCAGTAAAGGAGTCGTCTGTCCACCTACTAGGAAAATAGTTTATTTCCATCTCGATAAAGTTTTATTCTTTTTAAATTAGCTTTGAGTCAAAGTTTGTAGTTCTGGCTTCAAAACAACATAGTTGTAGGTTTGTCCACCTTATGACCATTTTTCCCTCCAAAACGGTTTGGTGCTGCATTTAACAGTATCATCCAATCTGCCACTGCCAATACATATGAACACATCTTTACGATAGGCATGTTATGATAATGACCAACTTGTGACATAACGTTCAGGCCTAGTGTGAAACTACACAACAGCAGAAGTCGTCCCTAGAGTCACTAAGATTTCACCAGAGAGAGAAAAAGAGAAAATCTAGCTTTGAGAAAATCTAAAGAACTGGGACTGTGGTGAGTTCTAGACAAATTCTGGCCGTAGTTCTGTGACTGAACTGAAACATGGCGTGTAGTGACAGCTTCAAGCAGGACTCTGTGACGAAGAATCCCAAGCAGACTGTTGGAGTCAGTGAACACGACTCCTTCCTTTGGTTGACTGGCAGCCACTGTTTAGCTTCTCATGCTAATGAAGTCCATCCTCTGATGGCTCGTGTTTAGCCTTTTCCATCAGTTTTCTTTTTTCTTGTAACCTGAAGCATGTAACCTTTCTCCAGTTCACCATCTTTACTTCTCATTTTCAGTATTTCTCATAACATCTAACCAACATCAGCTTTAACAAGTCATGTTCTGCCTGGTTTTTCAAGCTTTACTCGAACTCTGGAGGTTTTTCTCAAAGTGTCGCTCAGGTTTCCTGACCCCTAGTCTGGATTTAAGCCCCAACATCAGACTTGCTTAGGAAATGGACCCTGATGGACAGCTTCCCTGCTGTATTTGGGAAATAATTATTCTGGGAATGCAGGGTGCATTGAATCTTCTTTGGGCTTTTCCCCTTCCAGACAGAACATTAAAACTGATTCCTTTGTTCACACATGTAAATTCCACTTGGCTTCACGCTGATTTTTAGGTCCTTTTCCCTCGGTTTTCACTTGCCAGGTGATTTATATTTGTTCCGTTTCTCTTTATGGTTTTTTTTTTATTATTTCTTTAATGTGAACTACTGAATATGTCTGAATGAAGAAATAAGTTAATTTATTGAACATTTGCAATAATCCCAATGCTTTGTACTTGAAGTCTTTGTGCTTAAAGTTTGATTTGGGTTTATTTTGGGGAGAATAAATCACTTATTAAAATGTGGCATGGTGTTATCACTTTCTTAAAGATTCTTTAGCACAGAGTTTAATCTTCTGCTGACGGGAACCCTCAGACAAAAAAAGTTAAAGGTAAAATGTCCACGATGTAAAAAGAAGCAGCAGGAGGAGCAAGAGGACTCTTTAATAAATCATTAATATGAATCTGTGAAAAGTCATTTAGGTTCAAAAAGCTCCTACTAACCACAGGCTAGAACTAGTGTTTATTTTCTGTCAAAATGTTCGGGTTGGTGTTTCTTATAGATTCAGCTACAAAAATCTGAATAATCTTTTGGCATGGGGGTGGGGGAGAATCTGCCAGCGGAACTAGTACTTAGTTATTCATTTCAGATGGGCTTCCGTATCTTTCTGAAAAGTTGCAAGTTAATTTAGTCTTATTTCAAGTGTGCTAAGATAATTATCCAGAGTTCCTCTAGATATTCAAACTCCAAATATTCACCGCCATTAAGATAAAAACAGTAAGTCAGACGTAAAGAACATATCTATTGACTTTATTAAAGTGTGTTTTGTGTGTAAGTCCGGAGAACATGTCCAAGGACTGACACACAGTCTACGCTAGAGGAGAGCGTCACCATTCGCATCTAGCAGTTTGTCAGCAGAGCATCTCTGGCTTCAGCTCCACATGACTTTGGTAAAGGCTTGATGACGGAACAGTGTATTTTTGTGTGTGTATTCTCTAATTCCCAGCCATGATTTTGGCAGCTTTCTCTCTCCACTCCCACAGGCACTTATTGCAGTCACATTTGTGTGCATAGACTTTCATATAAATTGCCTGGGGGGGGAGAAAAAAAAAATCTGCTTGCTCCGAGTCAGGTTGATTCAGAGCAGCACCAGAGGAAGTGAACGGAACATTTACAGCCAGATCGTTCATCCATTCATCAACAAAACACCAGATGCAAAGCAGAACTTAAGGATTTTCACATTAAATCTTAAGTTTTTAATCCTAATCGAAGAATTTTGGTAACCCTCCTGTCACTATGCAGAGAAGTAGAGAATCAATACAAGAACAAATAATCACAGTTTGTGTGTCACAGTGTTTATCAGTGTCATTCTGAGATGAGGATCAGTTTCTAAGAGTGCAGCAGAAAACAGCTGTCAGATGTATCATTGTCTGATTGTGAGTGAAACCAGAATGAACCTGAACATTTCCAGATGTGGGCTGTAGAGCCGGTGCCTTGCAGTAAGAAGGTCCTAGGTTTTCTCCCACAGTCCAGAAACAGAACTGGGAGGTTAACTGGTTCTGCATGTTGCCCTGGAATGGACTGGTAACCTTTCCAGGGTCTACCCCACCTCTCACTATAGCTAACGAATAGATAGATTTCCCAACGTCACCACAGTGGGTCAATGACAAAAACACTTGTTGTATTCCATCCTGATGGTTTGTAACCTGGGACATCTACTCCTTTCCTTCTCTACAGCCACTTTTTTTAATCGTCAAGTTTAGATTTAAATTGCTTCAGCATAAACTTCCATCTGGGTTGTAAACGCCGTAGTTCTGATTCAGGACTGTTGGATTTGAAGCTGCAGTGTGTAACTTTAAAAAAATGTGGTTTTTTATACCAATTTGTTCAAATACAGTATAATATGAGCGAGATAATCTGTAAAAAGATGGATCTTCTCCATTTCATCCCTGAGCTTCTGTTGCCTCTGCATAAATGCATCACTCCTGGTCAAAAACAACCAAATCAGAGCCAGGAGGAGGGACTTAGTGCTGTCAATCAATGCTATTCAACATGTTAATGGTGGAGAAACAACTTGCTATTACAGGTAAACCGTTTATCTGCCGTCATTGGTAGTCGTGCTAACTAGACTGAGCATTCACAACAGGTTCTGCTGACGGGGGAGAAGCTGCATCTCCTGGGTCTGATTGGTTGTTCCTAGGTAGCACTGGGAAAAGGCAGAGGAGATACTTTTTTTTTTCAGATTGTCTCATACCATACAGTCACGGCATACTGACAGCTTCAACAAATCTGTAAAAAAAAAAAAAAAAAACTTTTAAAAAGTTACATACTGCAACTTTAACAAAGCGGTGAGAAAACACAGACTGTGACTTGTTGTCATGGAGCATGACCACATACTGTCTGAGGTCACAGCAGGACAGAGCAATGATTATCAAACAGCTGGAAACGCATTACCTCAAGACAGCGGGAGAAAACGCCCCACCCTCTTTCTCTTCCGCCCATGTCCACAGGCTGGGACATGGGGACCAGACTGACGGTCCAACCGCCACCTGCTGGTTCTAACTGGTATATCAGCCCAAGTTGGAAGGCAGCGTTACTTTAGTAGTTTTCTGCTGTTTAACAGGGAAGTGACTTGTGCAGGTTAAGCCATCAGTCATGCTAGTACATTTGCACACAGAGCACAGAGAAAGTCCTGATCTTCTGATCAAGCAGGTGTCTTTAGTGGAGACATCTGACTGCTGCTGACCTGAAGCAAGGAGTGAACCTGCTGGATGGTCACATTACCAAATCTACATGGATTCTTGAAACCAGCATCTGTCTCCAGCAGAGAATACCTTTAGTCCCTGAAGTAGTGAGAACATGTAAGAGGTGAGACGAGGAATCACTGAGAGTCTTTGAGGTCATGATGGATATCTGAAGATCCTGAGCAGGCCTGCTGTGTCCGGTCAGCGACAGAGACGAGCTACGAGTCTTTGAGCATGCTAATCTGAGCGAAGATTTTCAGCGCCGGGCCCAGTTTGATGTTCATGGTTCCCATGAGGTGGTCCTCCTTCAGGAGAAGCAGAGCCTGTCCGTCAATCTCCTGAGAGCGGAACTCTTCTGCAATCTCCAGGCAGCCTGCGACCAACAACAATGACAACCTTCATGTCAGGGTACGGTGCAGTGGTTTTCATTCACCTGTGTTTGTTCAGCTGTGAAATACAAAGGTTTACTAAGGCCATTGTAGATAGTAAAAAAAAAGTAGATTTGTTGTTTTCTGCCAAAAAAACCCCCCTGAAATTTTACAATTAATTTCAATCTTTTTTCAAGAAAAAAAGATGAACATTTTATACTTTTGAAACTCAGAAATGTTTTTTTTCCTAGAGAATTTCTGACTGAACTCAAAATTTTAGCCTTTTCCAAGCTCAGAAATGTCCTTGTTTTGTAGAAAACTTCTGAGATCCTAATATTTCCATGTTTTTGTCGAAAATGTACTCCTTTTTTCTATCTACAGTGGCCCATTGGACATGCTGCCATTGGTTTAAGTTGCTAAAGGACAAACTGACCTCTTTTCCATCACTATGGTACTTTCTTGTTCTACTACTCTACAATTTGCAATATGTGCTGTTATTTAAACTGTTAACTTTATTTCCCATAGAGGGTCTACAGCATGAGATAATGTTGTCAGTAGCTAAAAGTTCTCCCTCTTCTGCTAATGACTTTCTACATTACATTAACAAAGAAACGACTTCAAAACCAGTTAATCTGTTTCTTGTTGTGCATTTTGCTCCGTCTTCTCAAACCTGCGGTCGGTTGTGGCAGCTGGCTGCTTGTACTGAGCCCAGTTCTGGTTCTGCTGGAGGTTTCTTCCTGTTACAGGGGAGTTTTTCCTGTAAATCTTGCTTGTTTGTTATTGACCAAATACTTACTCCACCATAATTTGCAAATAAATTCTTAAAAATTCAGACAATGTGATTTTCTACTTTTCTCATTTTGTCTTTCATAGTTGAGGACTACCTATGATGTCAATTACAGGCCTCTCTTCTCTTTCTAAGTAGGAGAACTTGCACAATTATTGGCTGACCAAATACTCCCCACCCCCAAACACTGTATATTTGAACCTGTATGTATAATTCTGACCCTGAATACAGTCAAGGAACTCTTCAATAAATTCAAATTTGTCCACATAATTTTTAGTTAAAAAAAAAAAAAAAAAAAATCACCGAAATCAATTGTTGCACAGTAATTCTTCTAACTGGAGCAAAAACTATCAAGGATCAGCATGCCGCACCCACCTGGTAGGGAGGATATGAACCCGTAGACGTCCTGGATGTTCCACTGACCCGGATCGCTGTGCACAAAGCTGTGGGGGTGCGGCTGGAGGTCGAGGTTCTGCACCGCAGGAACCCGAGGGGTCGTAGACAGGGGGGGTGATGGGACTCTCTTATAGCCGGACAGGTCTGAACACTGACTGGACTCTCCGTGTGCAGGGTGAACAGTGTGACCAGCAGAGGGAGCAATCTGACAGAAACGAGGAAATCAGCTCATTTCAACATTTGAACTTTGAACTAAAACCTGAGGTCAGCTTCAGAGAAGACAGTTTGTCCAAAGCTAAACAGTAGCTTCTTTGCCATGCCCAGATCCTGCTGAGAAGACTAAGGCTAGTTAGCAAGGCCACCAGCAGATAGCAGCGGGTAAACGGATAAACGAAAGGTGACTTGTTTCTCCGTCATTAGTAGGTTGAGCAGCGTGTACAGACAGCGTTAAGACCCTCCCCTAGTCTCTGATTGGTTGCTTCCCAGTCCTGTATTTCTGCAAATGGTAGTAAGACCACAAGGAGGCAGAGGAGATTCATTTTTTCATTTATGTCTTATATGAAATTACAATTTTTTATTTATTTATTTTTTTTTTTACAAATACATAAAAACCAACAATTTTAAGCCTTATTTATCATAAATCCTGAAAATAATGATGTCAGGAGTTCTGTGCTCTGTTTTGCAGACCGGTTACTCGTCGTACTGTCAAAATTGGATTCATCATATAAATTATGAAAGAGCAGAAATCTCACCTTCTTTTTAGACTCCAAGCTGCTGTTTTTGTAATTCCCATTCAACGTTCGCCTCTTCAGGTTCTCCAGGCTGGTTCTGCGGTTCGGGAAGAGACCCATTCTCTTTGTGCATCCCACGTTGTAGCTACAGGAATATTTTAGAATATTGAAAAGGAAATCAGAGTAGTGTAAATGCAATGTTTTCCATTAATTTGGTTTATCATAGTTGCACCTTCATTAAACTAAAGGAAACTCCATGTCTTGACATAGATGGAAAAAGACGGTATAATCAGAGCAAAAAAACCTCAGAAAGAAAAATAAATCAGACTCACCGTTTAGCACACACTGTGGAGCAGAACCTCTTGGATCTTTTAAAGATGTAGGCAAAGTCCACCTTACCGCACAGTTCGCAGGTCAACATGGGCTCCTGCTGGGCCTTTAGCTCTGAGAGAACACACAAACAGCACACACAGTTACTGTCAAGCGACTCCCTAGTTTTCCTTCTCTAGATGTGAAAAAACTCCTCTTGAGATGAGGAAAAACAAGGAGAAAGGCAAGGAAACACGCTTTTCAACAACTCTATTCCAATTCACTGTGTTACTTACATTGTGCAGCACTACTGGAGAACAACACTGCAGTTCAAGGATGAAGAACTCACAGTTCCCAGCACATCTCCCTGATGTACTCCACAGACATTTTCTTAGAATAAGAATTGTCTGAGAATAAGAACTGTCTGTATGTATGTGTGTGTGTGTGTGTGTGTGTGTGTGTGTGTGTGTGTGTGTGTGTGTGTGTGTGTGTGTGTGTGTGTGTGTGTGTGTGTGTATGGATGGAAAATGAACTTTACTATTGATCTAAAAACAAAAGCAAAGAAAAAAGTCATTTACCCTTGGAAGATGGGCCATCCATCTTTGAATTTTCTGCCCGTCTCCGGAGGCTCTCTATAGAAAAAGATGGACGCTCCACCTACAGAAAAGAAATGTGTTGATTCAGCTGACTGATAAAAATGCCAAGTATAGTACACTGCTGGTATGAGCTCAGCTTAAGACGGTGCTAATAGCATTAGATTGTTGAAACAAAAAGACCTTTGCATATCTAAAGAAGATTAATGCATTCTGAGGCATCGAAGCAAGAAAAATTCCTTGAAGGATTACCACGAACGACATTTGGGCATAAAGACTTGCCCCTAATCAAGCCAGCCTTCATTACTGCAAGTCAGAAATCATTTTAGGCGTGAAGCTGTATGTCAGAAAAAGTTCTGCTGACATTAACCAACAGACCAATGGATGACCAGGTACTCACAGGGAAAGGCTCGGCACCTTCCTGGATGACAAAGCCTTCAATCAGGTGTGTCAGGATCTGGGACTTGTCTATGGCCTGCTGAGCTGCTTTGCTGTCTCCATTATGCTGGCTGCTGTTAGTGCTCCCATTCCCAGAGGTCATGACTGGAGCACAGGCAGCCCCAAACCTGCCAACACAACAGCAAAGTACAACTGCATGAATCTGAAAGGATGTTCAAATATTGAAATGCAGCAGAGTCAGTGTGTCCGGTGGCTGATGAACCAGGATCGTTCCTTTTTAAATGTTGCCCTTTAGACACACCTGAGCATCTTCACATAATAACCAAGAAGCAACATTGGGAAATGTCCAGCTTAAAACCAGAAATCAGCTGGAAGGACTGGAAGTGAAGTAAAATGAAACATCTCCACCACCATATCTACAGAGGCACAGAAGATACCAAAAGCAGATGGGCGTATCTAGGTATTGGTATCTAGGTACAGTAAAAGGTTTCTCCTTCTTCTTCTCTTTCAGTTTCTCTCTTCAGAGGTCACCACAGCCAATAATATGTCTCCATTTAATCCTGTTTTCTGCATCCTGCACCACTCCAACATACTTCTCTCAGCCCCTCCAAACCTTGCCATGCAACACCACTTCCTCTATGGGCACCTTGTCATACGTTTTCTCTAAATCTAGAAATACACAGTGCAGCTCTCGCTGGCCTTTTCTGTACACTCCATCAGCATCTTTCAAGTAAAAACTGGCATCGGTAATTCTGGCATGAAACCGTTCTGCTGCTCACTTCTGACCTAATCTTTTCCACATACAACTCCAGGTATGAGAAACTCCATACCAGTCACAATTCTGTATTTCTTCTTAATAACCGACACAACACCTTCCCTACATTTCTCAGGCATCTTCTCAGTCTTCAAGATTTTGTTGAAACAACCAAATCATAAGCTCCCATGCCTCCATGAGTATGTCATCAGGACCCAATGCCCTTCTCCTCCTTCCAAGTAGAAAACTGAGACAGTCATAGTGTGGAAACTTAAGGACCACCCAGAACTCTTAAGGTATTGCCGTCGTCAATCCTACAGCCAACAAGCATGTGTGTTCAGCAGATAACTGTAGGCTGTACCCAAGCGGCTAATGTCAGTTTGTCATACTTGTTACAGAACAAAAATTATCATATTTTGCTCAATAAGCGTTTAAAACTTATGTAAAATTCAGCAAGGTCTTAATCTGTTTTTCATTTCATCTGTATTTTCATAGAAGTAGGATTTGTTTGTTTTTTTTAAATAAAAGGTAAGCAGATAATGTTCTACATTACAGTAAATTCCAGATTAGATAGATAGATAATTTATCAACCTTGAAATATCTAACAATCCATACTTTTTTACTTGTATCAATAACGTCAATATTGTCTCAAAGAACAACACAAAGTTACTCTCATAGCTGACATACCTCAAATTTTATTTTAAATATAAAATTTTAATTCAGCACACACACATTCATCAAAAAGTATTCATCCACACCTTACCAGCTGTATTATGTTTTTAAGCAGCCATATTGTCTCAGTACTTTCTTGATCAGTTCACTTCAGCTTTTTTATAAAGTGACAGATCCAATCTCACGACATACATTCTAGCTTGATCCCAGTTCTAACACAATGTAGCCAAATTCAGTTTAAATGCCATTTGGTAAAGATGGATTTAATCCCAGCAGATTAAATCCAGACACTAACTCTGCATCAATACATCAACAGAGCACTCATTTGGCGACTATGGAAAGGAACAACAACTCCTCTTAACATGAATAAAACCTCTAGCAGAACCAGAACCAGTCTGACCGGTCATCTGTCTTTACAGAATAACACTTCTCAAGGTTTTCTCTTCAGAAACCTGTCAGTTTGTCTTACCCACTTTTAATCAGTCCACAAGATCCTTCAGACAAAACATAGTAATAATAAACTCAAGGATTAAAACATTTGACACTATACTGTTCAAGCAGATTTAGCTCCACTTTCCATCTACTCTGAAAAAGAGCAACTTCTTTTTCAACAATCTTGCAGTGGCAGCTTCACCTCGTCAGCCGCTACATGAAGAAAACTATCATGTAATATCCAATCCTCTAGTGTGTTAAATATTTGTTCTGCTGTTTGTACAGAAACAGAAGAACGAAGATAAACCTAACAATTTTAGAGTAGAGTTTGGCGCTCCATTACTACAAAGCAGCACGCTGTGGTGACCAGGGGCTGTTGTTTGGCATTCAACAATAAGGAAGCCTTAAATTGAAATAAATAAAGGCGTATACTATCAGGGAACATTTCCTCTCCTGGTTAAGTTTAGGTTCCCCTTGGTGAGAGTAGTTTGTTTACATCCATGCTTGAACTCCACCGAGCGCGTCGGAAGTTTCTAACTAACAAACCGCACAAAGTAAATCTAAATTGACGTGAGGGCGACATTAATCCAGTTAGTTGGGAGCTGAAATCAGTGTTGGGCAACAAACATGTAGCCTTCTTATCGTGTGTTGCTTAAAAGTACACCAGGCTAAAGTCATTTCACCAACACGCGCCTGAAGGACTGAAGCTAGCAGTTGGCTTACTTTAACCGTCCGAAACCAGTTCGGAATCAGTTTCAGGCGCCCTGCACGGTAACAATGGTCCGGGGAAGAAAAGCTCTTTGTTCAGCGGCTCCAAGCTGAACAACTGCTCCGCTCCCGCCGCTGGGAGGAACACCGGCCAGCCAGCTGGAACCCTCGCCGGTAAATATTCACCGCATAAAGCGAGCCGAACCGCCTCGTTACACCGGCAACCGCGATGTTACCGACTGCCTCATCTTTTCACCGCAGTCCCACGCTGCACTTTCAAACGGCGTTATCAACATCCATTACAACTCATCTCCAAACTGATCAAGTCGGGATGTGAACCCGCATAGTTTCCGCCAACAAACGTCAAAATAAAAGCACGCTCCGTGTTTTGTCGGCGGTTGCAGCTGGACATTCGTCTACTGTTCACCCTTACTCTGAAGAGAATCCCTGCTTAGTGTCTTTGGCCGCAGGTGAACTTCTCGGAAAGGCGCTAAAATCACCTCAAGCTGGGATCAAGAAGCGCGTTTATTTTGATATTCCCCATGTTCACCAACAGCTTGCCTAAACAACTGATCTCCGACTGATTAGTGAGCGCTGTTTCCATCAGTTATGGAAATGTGTGGAGCTCCGGAAATGCATTTTATTATTTTTCTTTTTTGGTTGTTTTTGTGTGTGTTTGTTTGATTTAAAGACCAAATTTTATAAAGAGACGTTGCCGATTCGAACCCCGGTCCCTCCTTCTCTGGTCAGTGTACAGGCTATGGAGCAACAAGCAGAGCAATATTAGCAGCAACGTAAGGAGTTAGATGATAAAAACATAACTGGAAACAAACAAAAAGCATTAAATGGAAGTGGCAAAAATAATTTGAAGTACATATATAACGTCCACTAATAATAATTTATTAGTCTACTAATCAGTTATTATTAGTCAAAGGTAACTCTAACTCAGGGTCTCCACAGTTTTCTCGAATTTTTTTATTATTTTCAGATTAAAGGAGCATAAAAACTAAATACTGCTTGTTCATGTTTGGTTCTGGTGAAGCAGAGTAGACTCAAGACCTGAGTTCTCTGGAAAGTTGATGCGACTACAGATCTTTAATGTATTTTGATGTTGAGCTATTCAGCGATTTATCAACTAACAAAAGAATTTTAAAGTCTATTCTCTGAGCTACAGACAGCCAGTGGAAGGACTTTAGAAGTGATGCGCTGTATCGTATCAGACACCTTGTCTGATACGCTGTTTGTCACAGGTATTTGGGTCCTTCGTGTCACCAATTCATGACAAATGTAGTCTTGTTATGTTAGTTGAAACTAGGGCTGTGTAATAATATCTATATGGCGATATATATAATATTTTCTTTCCTAGAAAAAAAATCAATATTCATCCGCAAGTATTGTAACATCCAACTGTCACCTTGCTCACTCACTGCTTGCTTCGCCGGGAGAGTGATTAGGTCATCAGGCTTGGAGTGATTCCTTCAGATGTTAAGTGTCAAGGTTAAAAAGGTATCAAACTATTCAGAGCAGGGTACTTGGTGCACTTTATTTACTTTACAAATGCATGTAAGCTACAGTTTGTACTGTTTCAATTAAAAGAAACATATTTTCTCACCACTTCTTTGATTCATTTTGTCCAGCTGTCGACTTTAAGTCTGTGTCCATGGACATGATTTTAATCAGTTTTCAGTTAAATGAATTCAATCCAACTCTATAACAGTCACAAAATGTCACCAAAATCACTCTGTCCCTCTAAAATCTTTCAGAAAATCGCAAAAGTGTATTGAATTGTATCGTTTGCTGAATATCGCAATATATATTATATTGTTGACAGAATATCGTGTATTGTATCGTATCATGAAATTATTGTATCACTACAGCCCTAGTTGAAATAACGGCTAAGTTATTTTCATTCAACAAAAACAAGTAAAAGCACAACCCACCAAGCACAAAGACCCACAGAACAAAAAAACAGAACAGCTCTAGAAAACATGCACAAACTGATTCTTTGACAGGGCTGCACAGTGAACCAGCAGGTGGTCACCCTGTTGTCTTGGGTGCGTTGTGGATTCAAATCCCTGACTGGAGTTTTTCTCCATGTAGGTTCTATGTTCACCTGCATCCATTCTCCTGGGTACTGCAGCTTGATCCCACTGTCCAAAACCCATGACCGTTATATTCATTAGTCCCCCGAGTTGTCCTAAGGTGTGAGTGTGTGTGCATGGTGTCCTGTGTGTCTCTGTGTTGTCCTACATAGGGAACCTGTCCAGGATGTATGTTGCATCTTGCTCAATGACCACTGGTATAGACAGTGGATTGTTTGACAAAGTCAGACACACAACAAAATCTGTTTCTTGGTACAGCTTCAGACTTTCAACTTGAGAAAGTAGAGGCATTTCTTGCAGCTGAAGCCAAAGTGTAAAGGATAACAAATCTGTTCGAGATATGATGTCTGAAAGCTACTGGACATTTGCAACCAAGAGCAGCAGCCTTCTACCTCAACAGTATGGCAGGCCTGGTGAGAAGCACTGGTTTTATCATTTTAAATCGGTTCCAACTCCTCAGAGCCTGGCCACACACGACTGCAGTTGTAGAAATACAGCCCTGATTAGGGAATCAATTGTTTTTTGTACATTGCTAGAAATAACCATTTACTTTAGACAATTCTAAGAAGTAATCTAAATCATTTTTAGATTATTTTGTGACCAATTTGACTTAAAGATTTAATCAGTGAATACTGTGAAAAATGTTATATCTCTTATTAATGATAATAAAAAAATTCAATACAAATCAACTTTTAACTATTCTGAAAGCATCATGATGGAGGTGCTTTTCCATTAAGTTGTCGTAAATTAGTATATTTGTCTTTATGTATGAAGACCCAGCTCCTTTTGATGATGTTGAAGCGCCAGGGTCCAATTTATGGGCTTCTAATTACTGTCCATTTTATTTGTTCAATACATTGAGCACATCGTTTTAAAAAAGACCTGCATGAAATTATATTAACTCACCACTTTTTCAATTTGTTCAGTTTAATTTATTTATTCTTATTTTTTGTATATATAACTCAACATTTGAAATGTAACTTTTTTATAAGAATTGTGTCAGTGTATAAAAACAGATTAAATTAAAGTAAAACAGGCCTATTCTACTACTACTATTACTATCCACGATAATAATAATAATAATAATAATAATAATAATAATAATAATAATAATAATAATAATAATAATAATAATAATAATACATAAATAAACAAAATAAGTAAACGAACCATTTCATTTCAGAGAATGTGTATGGATGGATATGTTGCACTACTGACGGTGAAAGTTGTGATTAAATAAGAAATAATAACCGTGGTTACAAACATCACTGATGTGTGCCGTTGAATAACGCCTTGTGATAATGATCTGCTGCTGTAGCGAACAGAACACGGTAATCTGTGTGTTCCTGCTGCTCAGCCGCATGTTGGACGGGAGCCGCAGACTGACGGACAGCGAGGCGCTCTCCGGTCGTAAACTCTCTGAAGGAAACGGATCTGACTGGAGGATCAGCTGGTGGAAACGGTCTGATCGACGCTGGACCTGATGAAAAAGCAGTGTTTCACACCTGGGACTCTGTCCTCTGCGTCTCTGAAGAGAAGACTGCTGAGGAAAAGGAGGAGAGTGGCCCCGGAGGAGGCTGCCCCGGACAGCGACTGTGAGCCGTGCAGGTCAGATCCTACCTGTTCACCCTGCTGGAAGTTGTCTATTTACAAAGTTAAGCCAGAAGTACGCACTTACTGAGCTCTGATATCTTAGTTATAGGATCGAGTGATTTTAAAGGGGTCTCTTCGTTTTATTTTAGTGGACTTCCTCAGCAGTTCTTCAGTCTTTAACACATATTATTTGACACCATCTGATCATGGTGAGGAGCAGGTTTTTTGTTGTTTTTGTAAGGCCTTAGTTCTTTATCTCTGGATCAGCAGTAAATTTGTTATAGCAGCTTTTATAAAACACATACATTTGTTTCCTTTCTATGAGTTGCATTAAAAAAAACCTGTTTTGCTTACAAAATCATTTCTCAAAGGACTAAGATCACCAAAGCTATAAGTTTCTGAAAAGAAGGTGTTCTACGGGTCAGATAAATTCAAATTAATTCACTTTAGGTAATAGTATCAATTTATAGCAAACAAGAAAATACCACATTCAGCATCCAGGGAGCAGTGTTGTTCAATCAGCCTTCTTACTTAAAATAACAACGAAAAAAAAGCCCAACAGTATTAGAAGTTAGCTAAAATTTAAAACGATTTTGTGAACAAAAAATAATAATAAGACAAATAAACATGTACTCCTGAGTTAATGTGATCATTTGGCATTGGTGCTGCATCAAAGAAAATATAATGTAAAAATTTTGAAATTTCTTACTATATGTCATTTATGCTCTGAGCAAAGGAGGGCTGATTGTGGGTTAAAAGAATAGGCTGTTGCAGCAATATTGCTATTAATCTTTTTATATTTTCCTTTTTCAACGTTAAATGCTTGTTGGTAATGTACAAATTTATGATTGTAACTACATATATTCTCAGTGTATGTCTTTTTTGCTCTTCTCTTAGTCCAATACAGCTTCATCAAGTCTCATGTAGTCTCTTAGTCTCATCTCCCCTCGGAGTACCGAGGGAAACAACCAGCACACCTGAATAAAAACAAAGCCTTGTTGCCAAACCTTTGCCATTGTTCATGACATGCTCAGGAGGTTTTAGATCATAATCTGTAGCATAGTGGATCAGAAAATATAACCGGCTGTTTTCCTGTGTTTCAGATGTTCCATATTTTCCTCCTCTGGCAGCAGTCGCTCTGTTCGGCGGATTCTGACCGCCTGTGTCTTCTCCTTCCTGGCTCTACTTGGCTCTGTACCTCCAGACCTCAGCTCCAATTTTGACCTGCTCGATGCAACAGAGGCCGCGTACAGCGAACTGACTTCATGCAGGACGACAGCTCTATTACAGCTCGTCAGTGAAATTCAGAAGATGAGGCTTTTATTAGCCAAAAACACAAGCAATGAGACACTGGGGTCCGGTTTCGCAGCACTGGATCACCTCTGTGGTAAAATGGTGAACTACAGTAATAATCACAGACTTCACTGCAGTGCGGAGATGTCTGGATTTTGCCTTCAGATGAGGAGAAACATGCAGGCATTTCTACATCCATCCCAGGATGCCAGGGATGGATCAGTTTTCACTCAACTCATAGAGAGACTGTTGACCCTCTGGGGCTCAGTTGAAGTTGCTTTAGCTAAAGCCAAACAAAACTCTGCCTGGGCAGATGTTCTTTCTGCCAGACTACTAGTGACCTTCACAGAACTAAACTACCAACTGATGTTGCA